CATATGAAGAAATGAGAAATAAATAATATTTTTGCGATTATTTTTTTGTATAACAATTTAGTAACATTACAATTTTTATGTCGATAAAGATAACTGAAAACTAAAGGTTAGAAAAGTCACTTTTAAAAAGTAGCTTATCATTATTACGAGTTATCTAAAGTTTTTGTTGAGTTATTGAAAAAAAATAACTCATTACTTGTAACGTGTCGACGCGTTGCTTTTACTTATGCTACTTTAATTCGTTACAAATAATGTTACTTTTCTTAATAAATAATTTTTTTCAAGAAATAACGCGTAAAAATTTATTTTTTTCATAAATGTCTTTTCCATCTTTAATTTACAGTTAGTTGTCATCATCAAAAATTACAACGTATCAATCAAAAATTGACCAAACTGTTATTATAAAAAATAACGATAAAAATAATGAAATTATTTACTATTCATCTCTGTACCCAGATAGCCAAGTCTGTAGAAAACATATTTTTTAAATATATCTACATACTATCAACAAAATAACTGTAAATTAAATGTACATAATATTGTTAACTGAAGAAAAAACGTAACAGAAACTGCAAGTATCAGATAATGTCGACAGGATCTGTTCAATTTCTGGCAACAATTTGCCATCACATTATATAATAGGCGATATTAACAGAACACAAGCCTATTATGGACAGATTGCCATCGTCATTTTCTATTCGAATTTGCTAACAGTTTGCTAGAAGATTACAGACATTTTGCTATCTGGGTATAATATAATAATGTACATATATGTTTGTACAAATATACATATATGTGAACTAAAAAAAAGAGATGGCTGTACTATATTAATTATATTATTTATATTATTTAAGACAATTTAAATATATTAAAGTATACTTTTTGATAATTTGTGCGATACGTATCTTAAATTACTAATTTTCGAATGCTGAAACTAATATTGATTAATTTTATAATAGCTTAATTAATTTTTTATGAACTGTATATATTACTCATAAGTGATGAGTCCCCAATTTCCCATTCCGTTAATTGTAAACTCCGGTATCACGATGTGATCTATTTTGGATATCTTCAGGGAACTATTGGTATATTCAATCAAGATATCCATGATCTTTTCAGAAATATTATATGCGAATCCTAGATTTGTAGGCACTAATGATGATCTACGGCACCAAAATGTATGGATAGTTTCATGTACTAATGACGAAAAGCTGATGAATTGTAACATCGCAATCGCTACGGTATAAGTAGGCATTATAGGAGTAATCTTGAAATATGTCGTTCTCATATCATCTTTTTTGTCGTATATTTCTTCTACTGGCATATTTGATAGTAGTGTATATTGTGCATGATGCATTACGGAGATATTGAAGGTGGCTTTTAATGCTGGTTCATCCCAACATGGAAACATTCGTCTGGCGCCATTCGGCGAGAAATGTGTTACAGCGAACGCTAATCTGTTTGATAAAATGTATTAAATGAGCAAATTTTCCACTTATGTCATCTAACTTAAAAATTTAATAAATATTAATTATTGTTAACCGTCATTAGTATTGTTACACGTAAACAAATTTTAACAAGAGCAAAAATTGAAATATTGCATAATTGTGCCGT